CATTTTGAAATTTGGCATCTTTTTTGGAGCAGTAGTAATGCCAAATATGGTTTATGGATTTTGTTACAGTGAATTGCCACAGCTTTAAGTTTCAAATAAATTTTACGGAGAATTAGTTGTATGCAATTTTTCCCTCAATGATGCGTAATAAATATTAATACTATATGAAAAGTTATTTTTTAAAATTATTGATGATATTATTCAAATTTTTAACTTTTTTAAAAATTTCTCTCTTGTTTCCTTTTTTTTTTTTTTTTAAATATTTGTAGGAGTAAATTTCTACCTTCGTCGTATTATTGTCTGCTACTTTACTTCAGCTGCATTTAACTTGAATTGTCTAAAACTGAGAAAGTTCATTTGATGTTTATTTTCACAATGTTTTTAAGCAAACAGAACGTTGACAGTTTGATTCATGTCCCAGCTTTGAGAAATATGTATAAAAATATAAATTTTTACTTTAATCCTCTTAAAAAAATGTTTTAAGTAATAATATCCTCTCGTGTTGTAGATTATATAAAGTCATCTTTTTTAATATGGAAATTATTAGGCTTAAATATCTAAGTAATATGATTTAGATTGTTTGCATCCGATATAAGAATCGGGTCACTTGGTGGTACAGGATAAGCGCTACTGCAGTGGTTTATTTGTTTATCATTTAACAAAAATCTTTTAATTCAAATATTTATCCTCTGGACTTTGCTTTAAATTATATTTATAGTTAAAATGTCTAGAAAATGTAAAGCTGTCTTCAGCTGAAATGCATTTGATGCAACTGATATTTAAAAAAAAAATTTGACAAGAATGCAAAATTTATGGAAGTGTAACAATCGAAAAATCTTAATTTTCTTGTGTCAGCACTGAAAACAACTGTAAAAGCAAAGAAGGAAATTAGGAGGAAAAAAAGCAAATTCAATGAATAAATTAATAAATACTGTTCTTGGCGCAAACTGAAAAGATAGCGCAAGACAAATTTTTTAATTTCTCAGTAAATTTTGCACCAAATTTTATAAAATTTAATAATTTAGGCATAATTTGAGTCGTAGAATCGAAATATGCAAAATAATTGGCATGTTATTTAAAAAAAAAGTCCGATTTTGTGTCAAAATACCTATGCTAGAATAAGGCTATATGTAAATCTAATATATATGCTTAATCGCGCTTTTGAGACATGAAAAACGCAGTTTGGATTTCATCAATCGGCCCAGTAGAACCAGAGATATAGGACTGTCCCCACTTTTTTTATGCAATTTACATGTCTTGATAAATAAAGGCAATACTTTAGTATTTATTTCAGTTATATAAAATATATCTCAGCTTCATTGACATATAGAATTCATTGCGCATTCCTCTGAAACGTGACACTGTAGTCATTTCTTTGAAAATAAGTATTGTACAAGTACTTAAATAAGTATGTATGTATTTTCTTTGAATTGTAGAAAAATGGAGGCATCAGCAGTTACCAAATTTTGAATACTCATGGTCCTCAGTATGAACACATACACCTGGAAGTTGGAATTTATCATACATTTTGTGCAAACTTGATTAAATTTCTACCAACAAACTCTGTGATTTAAAAACAATGTGTTGCCATTAGGCAAAGTGTAATAAAAAACTCAGCAGTTTAAAAGAAATATGTTGCCACTGCCGCAAAATAAAATATTGTTGTTTTCCAGTACCAGTGTGCTGCCGTTCACCCAGGATCGGTGACACTTAGCCGACAACCACTTAGCCAACGGGACATTTAGCTGACATGGACACTTAGCCGACAGGTCATTTAGCCAGCACGGACAGTTAGCCGACAAGAACACTTAGCTGACAGGATCTTTAGTCGACACGAACAGTTAGCCGACAAGACATTTGGTCGACTCAGAGAGTTAGCCATCAGGACATTTAGCTACGAGACACTTAACTGTCAAGACATTTAGTCAACAGGACACAAAGCCGACAGTGACGTTTTAGCTGATTTGTACCCAATAATTATTCAAACTTACCATCAATTACAAAATTTCTCGACTTCTCCATAAGTTCAATATTTAAGTTATTTTTTTCACTATCAATAAAATTCATTTTTCGATTCTTAAAGATCTCATATGTGGTATTAATTATTGTGTTAATTTAGCATTGTTTGATATGTATCATCCTGTTTGGTGTACATTGGCCAAATTGAAAAAGTGCTGAAATTTCTCGTCAGGGAATATGAATTGAATATCGAAAGGAAAAAAGAATTTTTTTACCTAGGTATGGTGGTCACTTAATTACATTTCAATATGATCTTCAAAAATTATCCGTAAAGCTAAGCCAAAAACGAGAAAGAGAAGGAATGAAAGAGGGGGGAAATAAATAAATAAATAAAATTAATGAAATGAAAATTTATACATTTTTAACAGATATTGCGAAAAGTTATATTTTATAAGAAAACATTAATATAACATATTATATTGAAAATTACACATCACGACTTTCAAAACGTAGTACATAATATTCTCTATTTATATGACTGATCTAGTTAAATCTAGCATCGATAGATGACACCACACGGTGACTTTTACGATGTCACGCTTTGCTCCGTCCTACTTGGTTTGTGCCCCCCTCCTTCTGCAGCTTCAATTATGAATAAAACAAAACCTTAAAGAATATTTTACATCTAAATTAAACATTATGCACTAGTTTAAGCCTATAAACATTAACCTAAGTAAGTATTTTAAGCGAGAGGCGTGGTCAGTAAAATGTTACAGGATTTTTATCTCAAGAATGGTGGCCTGAACTGTAAATTATAGAGGTCACAAGTAATTTATACCTTTGCTTGTCTTAAAAATTCACTTTTTTAAAATTGTTTTTAATAGCAAAATAAAATATATATGCTAAACTAACCCTCACCACCATATGTTTCTGTAAAAAGTGTAATTCAAGAATAACAATAATTTTTATTGCATTATTCATATTTTTCATGACAGGGAAAGGAAATTTCATTAGTGGGAGGAGCCAAATGATTTTGTAAGGAAAAGAATGTAACATGATGTGATGAGTAAAATAGTAATGAAACGTAAAGGTATTAGAAATTTGAAAGCATTTGGAAGAGCGAGATTGAAAATTAATATCATTAAGTAAACAAGAAAAATTATTAATGATGTGAAAGTGTTCAAAAGAACCCAGCTGATTAAATGAAGAAGCTTTATGGATAATTTTTGAAGATCCCGCATTAAAATGTAATTAAATGACCGCTGTATTTGGCTAAAAAAATTCTTTTTTCCTTTCAAAATTTCATTCATATTCCCCGACGAGAAATTTTAACGCTTTTTTGATTTGGCCAGTATAGACCAAACAGCACGATACGTATCAAACAATGCTAAATTAACACAATTATTAAAAGCACATATGAGATCTTTAAGAATCGAAAAATGAATTTTATTGATAGTGAAAAAAATAACTTAAATATTGAACTTATGGAGAAGTCGAGAAATTTTGTAATTGATAGTAAGTTTGAATAATTATTGGGTACATGCCAGCTAAACTTCACTGTCAGTTTAGTGTCCTGTTGTCTAAATGTGTTGACACATTTAGACAGTTAATTGTCCCGTAGCTAAATGTTCTGACGGCTAAGTGTCTTTGTCGGCTAAGTGTCTTGTCGGCTAAGTATCCATGTCGGCTAAGTATCTATGTTGGTTAAATGTCCTGTCGGCTAAGTGTGCTTGTCGGCTAAATGTCTTGTTGGCTAACTGGTGTTGGTTAAGTGTGCCGTCGGCTAAGTGTCTGCGACTGGTTCACCAAAGCATAAGATATTTAATTGTCCTGTCGGCTAAGTGTCCCTGTCGGCTAAATGTCCTGTCGGCTAAGTGTGCTTGTCGGCTAAATGTCTTGTTGGCTAACTGGTGTTGGTTAAATGTGCCGTCGGCTAAGTGTCTGCGACTGGTTCACCAAAGCATAAAATATTTAATTTTTCTCTCAAATTTAATCTGTCTGTAGCTGATTAACAAACAAAGTGATTTAAAAGCAATAGATGTATTTCTTCACGTCTGTTATTATTAATTACTATGTGAACTTATTAAAATCATTATATAGTTTTTATAATTATTATTTTAGGTAGCTAGTTTTGAAATCTTTTTTTAGCTTATTCTGTATGTGACCTTTTTTTTTCAGCCTGCCAACTTATTCTTAAAAAAAAAAAAAAAAAAAAAAAAAAAAAAAAAAAAAAAAAAAAAAAAGAAAAAGAAATTAATTAGATTCTTCATCAGTTTTTTGATATACAAGCAAAACTTTCTAACTTTAAATAAGTGATATATGCTATGATAAAATGAAAGTGTTCTCATTTGTAAAATCAGGGATCTAGTATTTTACTTTGTATCAATGAAACTAGAAGCTTGAAGGTGGGGTTTCCATTGCACCCAGTGCCTTTTTTAAAAAGGAATCTTACAAGCAGCAGCATCTTGCAAAAAGAATCATGATTTGTAATGTGCTGTCGATTATGTTATGCCCTTTGAAGCCATTTATAAGGAGATATCTTACAATTTTAGAAATATGGTAATTTCTCTGCTTAATATACCCTGCTAAAGACATTTTTTATTGATTCATTTTACTGTTGTTTTTTAACATCCTAATTATGTAACTTTCTTTAAAGTTGGCAGTTGTATATTAAGTTAAAATAAATCTTAATAATTTTTATTTGACTTTATTTATTTTTCTTTTAGTATATTTCATGTCCTGTTTCATAGTTATCAGTTTTAGGAAAAAACAACTGGCCATTTATCTACATTTATTACAGATTATGTTATTTTACAATTCTGTTGACCAACATATCAGAAAATGAAAACATTGCTATTATAAAGGCATTCATTACTATTACATATGATTAATATGTATTTTTTCATAGTTTATGCTCTTAAATTCATCAGAAATTTAAATTTATTTGAACTATGATTGTCAGTTTTTTATTCCTGTGATATTTAGAATGAAATTGTTGAGTACATGTTTTAGAAACTAATTAAATGATGGTAACTTTTTAGTTAAGTCAGCATTTAAAAGCGCATTGGGGTGGAGCATCTAAGGAAGACTCTTGTAAGTGTTATTATCATTATAATTATAACTAAATGATATCTGCTAACTATTTTTCAAATAATTTGAATATGCATTATTAATATTCATATGTTGAACTGATGCTGCAATTCATTATATAGTACAAAGTCCAAAATCTCGGCATCGAACAGGTGGATTGGTCTAATATTCAGACCTGCAGACTACCATCCCTACTGGGAAGGACTCACCATTATAAATATAATACTCAAAATAAATGTGATTTTTCTCTCATCTAACTGAGATTCCTGCATGCCTCCTTCAAACACCTGCTGGCCTGGAAATCTACAATCCATTGGATAACTATTGGATTTACTGTAATTGGTCATGGTTATAGTACATTTATGGATATATTTTACTGCTGCTGACCGTGATCGTTCTTGAGTGATTGGGGGGAGGTTTGACATTTTTCTATCTGACCTAAACAATATGCTCCAGTTTTGTCGGGTCTACATGTCATCTTAATGCATTTAAACTGATGGTTCTAAAATCTAAAAACGCAGATTTGCTAAAGTTCCAGCAATTCCAGATCTCGGACTTTGTACTGTGAAATATTTTATACAGTGAAACTTCTTTAAATGAATTATCTCTCATTCTCCAATTTGGGACAATTAACTGTTTGGGAAAACTTGTTTACTCACCATTGAAAGAAAGGAATTTTTTATTCTTCCTTCCACAAAAAGTTACAAATTTTTTGCCTTTCAGTCAATTTTCTCTGCATTAGCTATAAAGTACATTTTTTTTAAACAGTAGTCCAGGCATGTTGTAGTTAAATAGCAAAAAAATTTGCACTGCATATTCTTCATCCCAAAACATTTCATGAGTGATAAGGCTTCAGACAACTAGAGCCCCAAATGATTCTGGTCTTTACAAAGATAGAGGCTTTTGTCTTAGGAATGAGATGCTCATTTCTGATGTTTATACTATGTGTTCAAAGATACACTGTTAATTTTCAGAAATGGTCATGTGCAGGAAATGGTTACTAAGACAAGTTTCACTGTATCTCATGTAATATTAATCTTGAACTATTTTTGAATTTGATTTCTAATAACCAGTTGAAAGGACTGATATTTATTTTTTAGTTCTGAGATAAATGAATGCTTAAAGATTTTCTTTGCTTAATTCTATGTATACACATCTTTGTTTTTAGAAATTTACTTAAAACTTATTATGGAAAAACTTATTTTAAGTTTTATCTATAATTTATATATATATATATATGCGCATGTGTGCGAGATGAAATAATTTAGTTTGTTGCAGTAATTTGACATGAGTGCTTGACTAGGGAAATGTTATCTTTCAGTCGTGAGTGGATTGATGTTGGAAGATCACTGAGAATATCGATTACGTAGTAGGAGATGCTGGGAATTTTTGAAGAACTGCAAAATGACTTGATAATCCAAATATATCTTTATTACTTGTTGATTGCTTTATGAAATGGCACAAGACAATGGGGCAGTCCACACCCCACAATTTTGATGATGCGTTACATTTTAAGCAGAAGCAGCCAAGTAAGAAGCATCCTTCAGCTAGCAAGCGTAAGCAGAGAAGGAGAATGTATAGTTGAATTGCAACAGTTTTTATAGTAAAATTTCTCTTTAATCTGATTGGCTAAAAAGTATACACAGTGCAGAAGATTAAAATGGCATGATATGGAATTAGTTTTCATATATAACACAGTTTTGAAAGCGTTATTGCCACTTTTAGAATAGCAAGAGAGAAGTGACCAAACCAAAAGGAGGAATTAAGGAGTACTGCTAATTTAAAATATAATTCAGAGTTATATATTTTTTATCTTACATACATACAGCGAAAAATAAAATGTAATATTTTTGCAGACTTTGGCTTTCCTCTCGTGTCTCAGTGAGGTAAAAGATATATATGCGAAACAAGAAGATTGGACGATATTTGCACAATTTGATCAGTTTTGCAAGAGTGGACAAACAAATATGATTTTTCAATGTTAATTACTTTTATTTGAAGAATTAAATATCACAAACTTTAAATAACATTAAAACTAGATAATAAGATTAATAGGTAGTATGATAAGCAAAACATGTGTTGTATTAATCAGCTTTGAATGATGCAATCCCTTCTTTAGTTTGCTTGGTGAAAACTTTTCTGTGATGATGGACATAAACAAGAATTGTTTTTGTTGTTCATCCCTGACCGATTTGTTAAAGTTTTTATCAGAGCAATTACTCTTTCTGGGGTATCATAGATAACTTTTGCTTGGCAAGAACATTTACTTTTCTTCTTAGAGAATCATTGCAGTATTCTGTAATGTCATGGATCACAAACAATTCTAAGAACATCTTCATTTTATTGGTAGTGAAATGGCTCAAGTCTTTTTCTTCAAAAAGTAGGTTTTTATGCTCTAGTTACCTGTTTCTTGCAGTTTGGGTTTTTGAATTTTTAGTCATATTTTCATCAGCCTGAGTCCGAAAAAGCCAATCCCACATTTGTTTCTGTCAGATACCAAAGGTGTCGCTCAGCAACTGTGAGAGTACTTTTTTGATGTCTGTAGAAGCTGTAGCATATCCATATCATTCTTCGCAGTTAACTAACTTACAGATGTTGGCAAAAGCAAGCATACACAAGGCTGATAAAATGTGCAACCTATTTCATTCCTTTTGATTCTCGTTGAGGAATATTTAATTGTTTAGTGAAAAGGACAGTTTTAAGTGCATATATTGCCTCTGACATCGACTTTGCTTGAAGTAGAGCCCCTGGGATCCTGAAACTGTTTTGATTTGTTTTGAGACCAGCCCCTCAAGTACAGAAGTAAGAGTTGTAATAACTTTTAATAATCTTCTGTTGGGTGATTTTCATCTTTCAGGACTTTTTGGATCTAGTTAACCATTTTCATTCATTGTTCTCCTAGATATCCTTGAATGGGACTTTCTTCATCCAACATTGTCATATGCAACTTCTTATCAAGTTTAGCTCACAGACTTTGGAACTTCCAAAAATCTGAATGCCAGGACCCCTTTAAAGGGAGCCGAGCTCCTAAAATCTCACAACTAGGCAGCTTTTGTAGCAGCCAAATTGGTCTTTTGGTTCCCATTCTGAAGTTCATTTACTTGCCAAAGATGAAAGAAGTACATGAAGAGAGAGTTAGTACCAAGCACTTCAATGTTAGGAATTTCGCTAGTTTGAAATAAAAGTAATCAATGGGGTGCAACCTATAAATATTAACTAATCATCTTGAAGTTTGGCATATATGTCTTTTACATCACTTAGACTCTGGACATAAGCAAAGTAAAAAATCACGTCTTTGGTAAAATGAAACGCCCTAATTATATACAATACACACACACACATACATGCATATATACGCACACAATTATAGGATGATGCCTGGAATGTTATTGGAAATAACTAAGAAAATTTTTAGTATAGAAATAAGTGCAGAAAAGTTGGTATTAAAGTTTGCAATGGAATGGGCATGGCTTACCAACATGTGCTCAGTATATCAATTGACTTGCTATGTAAGTTCTTTGAGATAAACTGTCAAGTTTATGATAACTTACTGATGCCAATCATTTACCTATTCTCAGAAGAAAGTCTCTATGCCCAATTGCGGTTTCATTGAATTTGTTGTTTTTTGATGAGCCCTTCAGGTATTCCCAAACAAAAAAGATTTTAAAATTTATATTGATGTAACAACTAGTTTGAACCACTTTGTAAATATTTTAGCTATCAGAAAGACACAACATGGAGAAGAAAATATTCTTGCTGGAAATCTGAAATGCTTTCGAAGCCGGAATTTGAGATGAATTTCATATGATGTTTTGGGCACATCTGTGTGCATTTTGTTTCTTTATGTGCAATGTTATGTAGAATTCCATTTGTTTATTAAATGTATAATAAAAAAAAAATACTTCCATTTAAGAACAGTATGGTCTGATAGATTTGCTGCATTGTGGAAAAAATATCACTGGCATAAGAACCACTAATAAATTAAGATTAAAAGCTAATTTTATAAAAGGTCTGTTGGTAACTGTGTCAAAAAAGTCTAGTACACCCTCTAGTCCTTCATCAACTAGAACTGTTGACTTTTGGGAAGACTGAAGATGATCTCATGACAAGTGAATATTCCAAGTTTCATGTATAAGGGCTTCAGCATTTCTTGAAAACTCCAGGAACTTATTGGTACAAATTGTCACACAGTAAGATGAACTGCTAGTCTTTAAATATCATCAGTGTATGTGTAAGCTTTCATGCTTCAGTTGATTATGAAATTTAGAAATTTTTTTTTTATTGATGAAGTGTTTTTTTGTTAATTGTTATTTATGTTTTAATTCTCTCTATTTATTTATATTTTTGAATTCATACTGAAAACATTTAAGCAGCACATGTTGTCACTTTTTCATATTTGAGTTTTCATTTTTCACAGATGATACAACAATGAAGATAGGTGATTTTTCAAAGGAAGTAAGTATATTAGTTCTGTGCTAAATGCATGATTGTGTATTTGTCTCTTGTAATAAATATCAAGCAAGCAGTAGAAGTTAGGAAATAAAACCAAGAAAGGCTAAAAAACCATTTTGTTTACATTTTTTTTTAACTAAGCTTTTGATATTAATTTACTTTTTCTCACTACTTACTGCACATCTGGCTTAAGCCATGTAATATTGCCAGTTTTCTCTGTTTGTTCATTCCTAACAGCTGAACGTATTACCTGTGTGTGACTGTTTCATAGATTCCTAGTGTATAATATAAATATATACCAGTTTCCATTAGAAAATTATTTCCATTAGAAAACAAAAAAATGAAGAGATAAAATTAAAAAATTTTATCTCTTCATTTTTTTGTTTTACTACTTTTCTCTAATTTTATAGAGATAAAATTTTTTGTTCATTTACAATGTTTCATTGCTCGAGTCCTGTAATTGCTGTATTGAATACCCGTAAAATACTCAGTTGAAATCTTGTCATTTTCAACAACCTCTTTATCACTTTCTCCACTGTTGTTGGTGATATTTGCTGGATTGAAAACCATGCTACAGATTTTGTTGCTAATTAATTGACTGATGATTGGGGCATTGTTATTGCACCTGATATGGCCACATTTTTCATCCAATCTTTTTTTTTTTACTACTGAAATGGATTTTTACAATTTATATTATTTATATGTTTTTTAAAAAGTTTACAGGAGGTCCAGTTAATAAATCATTCCAGTTGTTAGACATCTAGATTTTGTAATTTTCACTGTCATGAACTGTTTCTTCACATGAGTAAATAGTGCCCAAATTCTAGTTTCTTGAGAGGAGAGGCTTTTCTTTTGTAAAGAATGTTTGCATTTGATTATTTTTAATAATATCAGTTATAATTATTTTATTAGTCTTTAAGTTTTTTTCTCACTTTAATAAAATGAACTCTGTAGTAATTGCATGATGATAACAGAAATTCATATAAATATTAAGTCATGTCTATTGTTTTTGGATCTTGAAGAATTTTTTTTTTAATCATATTAATTTTGAGTATTAATTTAATTTCAATTCTTTTAGCTGAACCCTAGGTTAAGTAAACGTTGGAGCCAAGGCAGAGGTATGTGTTTTTGTACCATTCTTTTTATAAATATAATCATATAAGTCTGATTAATGATAGACATTATTAAATCTTCATTGTATAAAATGCATAGGATGGTGTAATTTATTGACAAGTTAATTTACAAACTTACTTGCTTTTGAAATAATATTTGAAGGCACAATAATGGAAAAAATCCAAGTTGAATTGAGAAAATTCATTCTTGCTGGACTGGCTGATTCAGTCTTGCTGGAATTGAGAAAATTCAGTCTTGTTGGACTGGCCGTAGCTTAAGTAATATTAGTTTTGATGGGATTTCTGAACTGGGTACTCTGGGAACTTTAGCTTAATACCTCGGAGGGAATACTGTTATTAAATAAAAGTAATACCTGCTGCTGTGAATTGATAGAGCAAAAAATTTACTTTAAAAGTAAAACTTTGTAAAAATATTGGTTTTGAAGCATCCAGCATTCTTAATGCATTTCTTTTTTGAAGGTAAAATTGTATAAGTAGGTAAATATCAAAATATAAAATCTACATTATCATTTGAAAAAGAAGAGAACCATTCTATATAGGGGAAGAGAAACAGAGATTGTATATAGTGACAATATTTTAGGATTATTATCACATTTAATTGTTGCTGAAGCCATTAGTCAGTTCAAGACCTGGAATTGCAAATTTTGCAATTATTTTATTGTAGGATATTAAAAATATATTAATTATGTAATATGTTGCAAAATATTATGAACTCATATAGTTACTTTTTAAATGACCTTGTCAAGTTGAGGAGCACTAAGACAAAATTACTTTTACAATAAATGTGATAGTTTGAAACCCACTTGAAAGTAAAAATAATAATATGCCTACCTTTTCTGTGGATTCATTGTGCAGCCTTCAGAATGAATTTTCTACTGGATTTGATTTTGCTAAAGGAATACTATCTGTTGGTGAACACAAACTTGAACACAAAAATGATGAACACAAAAAAATAATTTAATGAGGATGCTTTTAAACATGCATTAAAAGATTACATATATGTTAATTATTAGGCAGTTTTGCCTTCTGATTATTTAATTCTTAGGCATTATATCACAGCATACGACACTTTCACATCTAAAGCAAGTAACTGTTAAGTTCAGAATTTAAAAGCAAAAATGTGGATTTTTCTTGTGGTGATGTTACTGTGCATCTGCAAAAGAGGTATCTTGCATTGTGGCAGTACATAAAACAAATGCTAGCACATAGACCTTATCAAATGCCAATCATTTCTAGTCTTTTTTTATACCAGACAGAAACTGTAAAGTAAAAGCAATTTTTTTCCTCCAATTTTTCCAAGAGAGAAAGGATTTAAAGAGTAAAAACTGAATCTCTTATGTACAAGTATACAGAGAAATGTTTGAAACTAAAATAACAGAGATATATAGAAGAGGAGGATTCCAGGGAAATTGTATTTTAAAATATAATTGTTAAGTGCAAATTAGGATATATTACCTTTAAATAAAGTAGGAAGATTTTTATGTATATGTAAAGTTTTAAGGAACTAATTTGGTTAACTAGTAACTTAAGTAAATTTTAATGTATAGTAGATGAACATGTAAAATCCAAACCATTCTGTACTAAATATAATGTGTTATATAGTATTAGGAGCATTTTTATTATTCCAATTATGTTACAAATGCTTTTATGGTGGATTGGATATATTAAAAATCAGCTGTATTTTAAATGTTATCAATTACTAAAAAACGAAATAAAGATTTAAATCATTAATGTAATAATAATTTAAATAATTTAATATGCTCCTTAAACACACACACACACAACTAGACAGCGTATGTTTATACTTCCTTGTACGAACTAAAAAGGAAGTATTGTAATCGCGAAAAGTTTCAGCCAGCATATTTCAACAAAAATATCCATTTTGACCGCTATTGAATGCAATTTAACTATGTTTTTGCATGATATCTGGACGTAAAGACAGAATAAAAGACTCTTTTTCACCAAAAAATTATAAAACTGCTTTAAAATGAATTCTGAAGAGAATTTTTTGTGGCATCTGTACGAACGTACGTATCTCGCATAACTCAAAAACGAGTAGCGTCAGAATGTTGAAATTTTGTATATAGGATTACTATAACATGTAGATGTGCACCTCGTATTTTGGTTGCAATCGTCCGCACCAAACGTATATAAATATATTTATATATATATCCACTCTGTTACCCGGCTCAGTGATCTCAGTTTCTTTACTCTTCTATGTTTATAAATTGTGCATTTTTTGCTTTAAAAATGATTGAATTATGTTGTTCTTATCTTCCAGTTAAGGTTTTTATACCTTTAGTAAATCTGCAAGCAATATTTGTACAATTATCAACAATTTAAAAGCTGTTTAAATGCGGCTAAGCCTTTAGTTTTAAATAACATGGCGGACATATTTGTTTACATTTGAAACAGCAGAATAGTATATTTGTTGCCAGTCTAAGAGACTAAGCTTCGCAACAACAAAGATAACGCCTTTATTTATTATTGCGAATTAAATTATGCTTAATCCTTTCTGGAATTTTTTCGAGGAAATAAGGTATTCCTTTAATATAAGGAATTCCTTTAATATTTTTTTTATTAAGAAAACTTAAATGTAATATGTTCTATTATATATTTGGTGGTGTACCAAGTCACAGAGGACCGGAAAACTTCCGGTATCTTGGCAACCCAGTCCATGCATGTTTTCCGTGTTTAAACTGAAATGTTCATTCAAAACTATTTGACGCAAGGATAAAATTAGAATTAAAATAATTTAAATTCATTTTAATAAATTTTTATCAGTTCATATGCATTTTTATTATCTGCTTATTAACATTTTTCTATTTTAATATAAGCGCGTTATCGTTACATAAATACAAGCGATATTTTATTAATACAATTAACGAGTGGCAACATTATTTAATTTTGTTTATTGTTGTTCTAAAGAGAATATTCTTTAAATTTATCATTGTAACGCTGAGTTTTCATGATGCTTGGACTGCACGTTACATAGCTATGAAAGTTAATAGTATTTCAGCCATTTCATTTACTGAACTCCTGTATACTCATTACAGATGTTTATTTTTACCTTACTGCGTAAAATATTCACTTTTACTGTAGGATTATTTGTTGAATAATCAAGGATGAAAAAGAAACAACCATACAGGAAAAAGAAATGTAACATGACGAAATACAGGGTTATCCAAATTAAACTTCCCCAACTCAGAGGCCTGTGCAGAGTGTTGTATGGGTCATAATGTGATGAAATTTTAAAAACAGACACTTCAGATCATGCGCTCGAGATTTAGTACAATAATGAAAATTAGTACAAGAACTTGCCGGTATATAACCGAGCGCGAGTAACTAGTAATGGGCATATTGCAGCAACGTGATTTGCAGAAATAAAGCTTCTGCGCAACGTATCCAAAAGACAAGCCCTACAAAAGTGGAAGACAGGTCTTGCACAGGCAGTTGTTTCCAGCTCGCTGATGCACAATGGTGACTTTGAAAGACAAAGCTCTGTTAGTGAAACTTTTCTGCCAGAATGACGAGAACTTCTGTGCTGCGATAACAGCATTCCGTCGGCTGAAGATCATACGCCGAGTACCAATGACACCACGCGCTCTACGAGACATGATGAAGAAGTTCGAAAGAACGGGACAGCTGGGAATTTTACCAGGTAGAGGACGACAGGTTGTGGAATCTGCACGCTAAGAAGACGTTGCTTTGGCGGTCGTGGACCCCACTAGCCAATCGCCACATGGTGTTGTCAGTATGCCAACTGTTTCTCGTGCTGTTGATATGCCCTATACGACCGTCTGGCGTGTGATGCGTCGAATCCTCGGTTATTTTCCTTACAAAATCCATAGTCGTCATCAGCTGTCCGATGGGGATCCTGTAGTTTGGGAAACATTTGCGTTACAGTTCCTTGCCAGAATGGAAGTCAATACTGCTTGGCCGTGGAACATCCTTTGAACGGATGAGGCCCATTTTCACCTGAATGGTCAAGTGAATACGCACAACTGCCGCATTTGGGCAAGTGAAAACCCGCGCGCAATCCATCAAGTGCCCTTGAAACCTCCAGAAGGTTATTGTATGGTGCGGTTTCACTGCAACATTCGTCATTGGGCCTTATTTTTTTGAAGAGGTGACTCCACCAGGGTTCAAAACCTGCTCTGTCACAGGAAAACGGTACCAGGACATGTTGACAATTGTGATCCCTGAACTGCAACAACGTGGCTGCCTCCAGGACACGATATTTATGCAGGATGGTGCACCTCCCCATATTCTTCGTGGCTTCTGGTGTTACAACAACATAAGATTACAACAACGATATTCAACAGGTGTTACGGGCAACTTTTACCGATGCACGTGTGATCAGCCGCTGTTTCCCTACAGCTTAGCCTTCCTGCTCGCCTGATCTCACGCCATACGACTTTTGGTTATGGGGAATCTTAAAGGATCGGGTCTACCGAGAACACCCAGCAACCTTGGCACATCCTGAAAGACGCAATTATTCGACATGTTCGTGGAATTAATGTGGACTTACTGCGTTCCACTGTGGAACACACTGCTTTGCGAATGGAAAGAATTGTGGAGAACCACGGCACACATATAGAACATCTGTAGAATGTCTTGTTGATCTGCAGCGCCACCTATCGGCAACTTCTTGTACTAATTTTTTTGTTTAATAAATCTCGAGCGCATGATCTGAAGTGTCTGTTTTTAAAATTTCTCACATTATGACCCATACAACTCTCTGCACAGGCCTCTGAGTTAAGGAAGTTTAATTTGGATAACGCTGTATATCTAAAAAAACGACAAGAAGATGGATATAAAAAGGAAGAAAACGTTAAGACCAAGGAAAGAATAAGAACATTAAGAGCGGATGATGAATATAAAGTAGTAGAAAATCTTAATACCAAGGAAAGAATAAAACAATTAAGAGGGGATGATGAATATAAAGTGGTAGAAAATCTTAATACCAAGGAAAGAATAAAAAG